GGCTTTGAGCTGTAGCAGCGCGCCAGGGGTTGGAGCCCCCTCCCGGGCAACCTCCTGCTTGCCACTGCAAAGCGGCGGCATGTGGGGCAGGCCCAACTTCGCCAAGATAGCGAACTCCTCGTAGTGGTCATGGACTTCCTTCTCCACTTCCAGGTAGGTGGCCATACGACCGGCCGTGAACACCTTGGGGTCGGAGGTCACTGCATCCTCGAGGAGGCAGGTCGTCTGCTTCATGCAAAACAGCAGCCACTCCGGGCTGTTCTCGCAGGCATCTCCACCCTGAGCCGTCAACAGCCTGTTCAACTCCACATTCCACTCCTCTGAAATTTCGACGAGGACCTGTCCATGAGGCTCTTCGATCGGTTCCGGCGAGCCAACTTTGGCCTCCATGTGGTAAAGCTCCTGGCCGAAGTATTCCGCCAAGCTCACGTAGGCAGCTATGGCGGTGGACACCAATGCCCCATACTCCGAATCCAGCAGCTTCTGAGCGGTCTGGACCAGCTCAGTGGAAGGGGTGAAGTTTCCGTCTCCTTCTTCCTGGCAGATGCTCCTGCCTTCTTCGTCTGGGTCAGTCCAGGTCTCGTTGACAAAGACGTCGTCGAACTCTTCGCCGGTGACGGGGTCCTCGCCGGTGCCAGGGCTGAGACCCCATACAAACTCTCTCAGAAGCCGTAAGGGGCCCCATTTTAATTGTGGAGTCCCCTACATTCAGCATACCGCGTAAAACATCCTCAACCCTAAACCTTTAACCCCTACGCCTTCGAACAAAACACAATAACTGCACGTCGAACCCGATTATCCAGACGTTCTGCTGATATCGAACCAACGGACCAACGGGCCGGTCTAATTCTAATCTCCAAGCCAGAGCCCAAGATCCATTCCATTTCAGACACCGTCAACAAATCGAGCTCCATGTCAACCCCAAAGTACTGCCAACAAATCGTACATCTTCGCACTGCAGCTCGAATCCAAGGCACTGGCGACAAGTCGTGTTTCTTAGCACTGGGTCCCACTGGAAGCCACACACCGGCAGCAAATCGTACATCTCAGCATTGGTGCACATCGGGAGCACCAGACAACGGCAACACATCGCAGCTTCAGCACCGGGGCTCCATTTCGAGCCTAACGCATTTTCTGACAGTGGGTCCCGTTTGAAACCCCAGACACCCGCAACAAATCGTATTTCTTAGCACTGGAGCCCACTGGGGTTCAAGATGCCGGCAACAACTCGCATTTCGTAAGCACGCCGGTCTACTTGAAGCGCAAGGTAACGAGACCCGGCAGTATTTCGACATGTGGTCAGAAGAAGCAACCAAAACCCGGCAGCGCGATTTGTTACGGCCCACACTTGGTCAGAAAGAGCCACCAAGAACCGACAGGACGATTTGCTTCGGTCGACACTTGGTCAGGAAGAGTTACAAGACCCGGCAACACGATTCGTTGCGGCCAACATTCGGTCAGAAGGAACCAGGACCCGACAGCACGATCTGTTGCAGCCGACGAATGGTCAAAGTGAGCCACCATGAGGCAGTACGATTTGTTACGGCCGACATTTGCTCAGAAGAAGCCAAAAACAATCGGCAGTGCGGCTTTTTGCGGGCGACGTTTGGTCCAAACCCCGGCAGTACGATTTGTTACGGCCGTCATTCCGCGTAGGGGAGAAGGGCCAGCGGCCGGGGCAAGGCGTGCAGGCCCTAAACAACGAGACTATAAGCCCTAAACCGCAAAGCCTGTCCTTGCGACGCACGCGCTGGACTTCCAGACGGCTCTGTCCATTGCCGCCTTCGCGAGATTGAGAGAGCATCCATTCGATCTCCTGCTCCGACAAACGGAAGTTCTTCTTGTCCTCATTGTGAAAGGACTGCTGCAGCGCCTCTCCGACGAGGGTTTCCAAAGATCGCACCTTGGCTCCCTCTGCAGCCAGAAGCCATAGGAACAGCACTGCCGCGACGCCCAAAGATTGCTTCATTGCGAAA